CCCAATACCCACCAAACCCAAACTGAGTCCTTGCAATGAATATTCTACATCACTTTGGGACAAATTATGATGTGCATCCGTGTGCACCATGCGACATCGTTTTGACTAAAAATGCGCGTCTACTTAAAAAAAAAAAAATCAATTTCGATTCCCGGCAAGAACATTATGTTGTGCATAATTTGAACTATATATCCAGAATCAATGAACTAAAAATCTAGAATCAATGAACTAAAAATTCAGAATCAATGAACTAAATATCCATAATTAATGAACTAAATATCCAGCATGAATGAACTAAAAATCCATAATGAATGAACAACATAATGCTGTTGAGGGGAATCAAAACTGGTTTTTTTTTTTTTAAGTGGGACGCACGTTTTTAGTCAAAACGATGTCGTTTTTGCATCCATGTGCACCATGCATGGTGCACACAGATGCACAGCATAACGATTGTCACTTTGGTCAGGGCCGAATATAAGGCAGTGCAAGCTGGGCTACAGCACAGGGTCCCAAATTTTAGAGGGGCCCCAAATTTTAGAGGCCCAATATTTAATTTTTACCTAGCTAGTTTAGAAATAAAAATTAAAAGTTTTCAATTAAATTTAAAAGGCTCTATAAAGAAATAGTAGGAATGTGTGTTTATTGTATTTTAACTTGGAGGTTGGAGGTTTGAAACTTGCATATTGCTCTAGCTTTGGATCTCCCTATTTTTTTTGCTTTGGACATCTCCCTATTTTTTTTAATCCTTTTGCGCACACTATTATTATTATTATTATTATTATTATTATTATTATTATTATTATTATTATTATTATTATTATTAAAATAACGGTATTTGTTTTAAAGAATGTTATTTTGGTAAAGCCTCATTTATTTATCAGAACAGGCCACAAATATCTAAATTCGACCCATATTTTGGCTGAGTAAGCAAGATTCCACATGCACCAAAGTTATGTAAATTAAACATTTAAACCAAGTCCCTCTTTCTGTTTTAGGAAATTGGAAGGCAACTGGTACGCAAGCAATGACGGCTTGTTTGCCACCCCAAAGGAAATTACCACACAAAGAAACTATTATATATGTGGTTGTGCTAGAAGAGGAAAATTTTGGAGCCAAAATCCCACAACATCTTGAATGACATAATATATATATATATATATATATATATATATATATATATATATATATATATATATATATATTGAAAGATAATGACATTATTAATAACCTCAAGTCTCCTAGCATAGGACAAGGTGCACCTCTTCCAAGCCACAATAAAATGAGAAATGGAGTCAATAAGGGGCAAAACAATAGGTCACTTTAAGCCTTAGCTTTGAGGTCCTCTCAATCTCATTAAGAGCATCCATGAGCTAGCATCCCCACATATTGAATGGATGAGGGGTGGGGTGCTTAGTGTGAACATGAAGTGGAGTCTATTGAATATTTGGTGATAGGTTGTACTTTTGCTAGGGCTTTTCTATTGGATCCTAAAAGAGTTTAGTTATTTTGATCATGTCTCATTCAATTGGTTAATTATGTGGCTCAACGATAATTATGATATGAGAGAAATGAAATTTGTTTATATGTTATGATGATTTTTGAAAGGTGAGAAGTGAAATTTTCTTACAAAGTGTGACTTTTTTTTTTTTTTTAATAAAGGTCAAATTAGTCACTAAATTATAAACGAAAATATAAGTAAATCATTCCATTCAAAAAAATAGCAATTAACTCTCTAAGCAAGTCATATTCATATAATTAGACCAAAAGTGACTAGTACTCCAAGTCAACGACTTACATGTCGTTAACATTTTTTGATAGTGGAAGGAGAAGTTGTGGTCGGCAATAGTTTGCAAAGATGATATTGTTCAATTGAAGTCTCCAAATTTGATATTGGAGCCTGGAGATAGCACAACTCAAGTTTTTTTTTGAATTTTGTATATTGATTTGATTATACAAAGGCCAATGCAAAACAATCATTATTGTATGGACCAAAATATTAAATAATATACATTCAGTATACAAATAATGTACTTTTATTATATTAAAATTAGACATTGTATTCAGAGAAAGTACATTATTTTATATAATATACATTCAATACGCAAATAATTTTTTTTTATATCTAATAGGAAGGGGGAGACCCAAAGAGATTACAATGTATCAATGGTATTTCGCCATGAGGGCAGTCCTGCCATGTCATTCTCTAGATGTCTTCTGATTAAATCCGGGGGTTGAGGAAGCCTGTGCATGCCATCTGCATACTGCCTTGAGAGTTTAGTTAATTCGTCGGCCACTTGATTTTGTTCCCTGGTGATGTGCAAAACTTCCCAGATATCGAAATTCCGGAGTTCCTTTCTACACGCTAGTAAGATATTGTGTGCAGCTATCCTCGGAGGATCACCTGAGTTGAAGAAATTAACTGCTTCTTCTGAGTCACTCTCGAATATAATCCTTGTTATTCCTAAGGTAGCTGCCAATTGGATTCCCTTGAGCAAGGCCCAGGCCTCAGCTTCCAGTGGGGTACACCTGCCAATAGTTGCTATAAAGCCATGTCTCCAATTGCCCAAGCTATCCCTTATAACACCCCCACACCCAGCAAAAAGGGAGGAAGGAATAACAGAGCCATCAACATTCATTTTGGCCACATTCTCGGGTGGTTTTTCCCAGCAGAATTTCTTCCAATTGGTGGAGTTTCCTGAATGTTTGGCCCCTTGGGCCCTGTCATATGCATTAGTGATTTCATCCACCTGGCGTTTTATAGTCTCCATTTTTGACTTTCTGTGAACTTGCTTGCCATTAAAGATGGCCTCATTGCGCCATTTCCAAATCCACCAGGCTGTGACAGCAAATATAGTAGTGTCATGACAAGGGTTATTTCCATTACCTCTGCGTGTTAAGCCTTCATCCAGCCAGTGTGTGAAGGGCAGTAGCCTGAGTTTCTCATGCAATTGGGGGAGTACATACTTCCAGATTTCTTCCGCAACAGGGCATAACCGCATAACATGGTTGGTATCCTCGATGTGGTCTTTACAAAGCCAACACTTATCATTGTTGGTAAGCCCTCTTTTCGTCCTGTTGAGATTAGTCATAATTCTTTCATGTCTCAGTAGCCATAAGAACATACGAATCCGGTTGGGGATTTTGAGCTTCCATATACTGTTCCACTTGGCAGCCTCTATGGATTGTGTCATTCCCAGTGCTGAGTTGTACGCTGAACTTACAGAGAAGTAGCCATTAGGTTCAGGTCCCCAACCAACTAGGTCTAGAACTCCAGGATCTTCACATAGGATGAATGTTGCTAGCTTTCTGAGTGTTCCAAGAGGTAGGTGAGGGTTCAGTTGATCCCATTGCCAGCCCACTTCTGGGATCCAATAGCTTGAAACAGATCTCCTTAAGTCCGAGGCTGTTACTCCTGTTGTCAGGTCTTTTAGGGGTCTGTCTTCTAACCAGATGTCCTTCCAAAATAACGTGTTAACCCCATTCCTTACTAGACTTTTTATACCAGCTTGTAGAATGGGGATCGCTTTAACGATTCCTCTCCAAGCATTGGAATTATTGTTCTTCAGTTGCCAATTTGAACAATTGTCAGAGTTAATTCCGTATTTGGCTTTGATCAGGTTCACCCAAATAGAGTCCTCTCCTTGGACAATTCTCCATCCAAGCTTAGCTAAAAAAGCCAAGTTCATGTGCTTGAGACTTCGCAGACCGAGACCCCCATTGGACTTGTTTCTTGTAATGGTTTCCCAACTGACCGGATGGCATTTTCTTGTTGTTTCTGTGCTGCCCCATAAGAAGTTTCGGATCAGTTTCTCTAGAGCGTCTAGTACACCAGCTGGGATTAGCATAGATTGCATGGTAAAATAGGGGATAGATGACAGGACTGATTGTGCTAGTGCGTGTCGACCTGCTAGGGATAGGGACTTAGATTTCCAACCGGCAAGACGAGATTGTATATTCCCTAGAATTCCAGCAAACGTGTCACTTTTCACTCTCCCATGGATTGAAGGGACGCCTAGATATCTTCCCATATCAGTGACACTCCATATACCCATGGCTTCCGTAATGGCTTGTTGCTCACTTGTAGTGGTATTCTTTGAGAAGTATAGAGAAGACTTCTGGAGACTTATTCTTTCTCCTGATGCAGAACAGAAGAGCTCTATGCATCTCTTCATCTCCTGGGCTTGTTGCACCGTAGCTTCTCCAAAGAAGATGAGGTCATCTGCAAAGAATCGATGGGTTATGTTAGGGGCTCGTCTATTAATTCTAATGCCTTTCCAGCGGCCATTTATTACTGATTCATTTATAATGTGACTAAGTCTCTCAATACAGAAAACAAAAAGTAGAGGGGAGATTGGGTCTCCCTGTCGTAGTCCTTTTCCAGGTATGAACCAGTCCGCCTGCTGGCCATTCCATAGCACCGCAAGCCTCGACGAAGACACACATTTAAGGATGTTTCTCTTCCAGGTTGCATTAAATCCAATGTCAGTGAGGGTGTCCTCAAGGAAATCCCAGGATAGCTTGTCGTAGGCCTTCTCTAAATCCACTTTCATCATGATCCAGCTAGTTTTCCCTTTCTTGTTCTTCATTGAGTTCAAAATTTCTTGATATGCAAGGATATTATCTGTTATTTGCCTTCCAGGTATAAAACTTGATTGGTGATGTCCCACAATCTTTCTAGCTATTCCCTTGAGTCTCAGTGTCATGATTTTTGTTAGAAGCTTGTAGGACACGTTACATAACCCTATTGGCCTGTATTAATCAACTCTCTCAGGGTTTGCAACCTTAGGAATGAGGCTCAGTAGTGTGTCATTATGGCCAGGAGGGAGGAGGCCTTCCGCAAAGAAGGTTTTGGCGAACTTAACCAGTGTGTCCCCCGTTGCATCCCAAGTCTTCTGATAAAAGCCTGCCGTGAACCCATCGGGACCCGAGGCCTTACAAGGTGCCATTTCAAAAAGTGCGAGTTTTACTTCCTTGGTGCTGATTGGTTGGTTGACAAGCTGCTAGTCACGAACGTTGAGTGAGGGAAAGCGACCCTGAGGAAGGGGACTTGCTGGAAGGACGTTATCTGCTTCAAACAGATTCATAAAATAATCTCGAAAAAGGTTCTTGATTGACTCCTCTCCTGTGACTATTGTGCCTTCCATATCTTTGATAGCATTGGCTTTTGCTTGTTTGCCTTTAATGGTAGTTGATAGGTGATAGAATCGAGTGTTGAGATCTCCAGAAGTTATCCATTGTTCACGGGATCTTTGGAACCAAACCATTTCTTCTTGGTGTAGAGTTTCATCAAGTTCTTTACGCAGCCTTCTTTCCAAGCGAATGAGGTCCGATCTTGCCCCCAGTGATAAGCTACGTTGAATACCCCCAAGTCTAGCCAGCAGTCTGTTTTTTCTGTGGAATATGTTTCCAAATGTGTTTATGTTCCAGGATGAGAGGGCCACTGCCATTTCATTCTTGTTTGAGTTTAGGCTCCGATTTGTTGACCAGCAGGATTTGACTAAGGGCTGGAAATTGGCATGGCTGGCCCATGCCATATTAAAACGGAAGCTTCTGTTGATCGGTATTTGTGGTGTCTCTGAGGTATTGACGAGGAGGGGTGAGTGATCGGATTGAATCATCGGTAGGTGTAAAACTGATACATTCGGGAACATGCTTCTCCATTCAATATTGCTAAGGGCACGGTCCAAGCGGGCTCCTTTGAATGAGGTTGAATTAACGCCCCTCATCCAAGTGAATTTTGTTCCTTCAAAGCCCAAGTCAATCAGCCCTTCCCTAAAGATCCATTGGTTGAAGTCTGAACATCTAGACATGGAAAAGGTTTCCAGATTGTTGACTTCATCTTGACATGTTACTGAATTAAAGTCTCCCACGGCTAGCCATGGTCCATGGGGCATAAAAAACTGACCCGAGAGCTCCGAAAATAGGCGTTTTCTAAGAGCTTTGTTGGGACTCCCATAGACAACTGATAAGAGCCACGACTCGGAATCTGCATCTTGTACCTGCAAAGAGATGAATTGAGGGTGAGTGTCTAAAACTTCAATATGAATAGAGGATTTCCATAGGATCCAAATGCCACCAGAGAATCCTATAGCCTCTACTCTCATCCAATCGTCAAAGCCCAAGCTGAAGCATATCTCATTGGCCTGTTGGCCCGAGACCTTGGGCTCGAGGAGGCAAACAAAAGAAGGTTTATGAATGCACAGAAATTGCTTACGGATGCGCCTAAATGCCTTTGAGGCTGCTCCTTGACAGTTCCAGACTAAAAAGATCATAAAACCAGTGGGAAGGAAAGGAAACGGCGCCTATTGGCGCATGCGGGTATCCGCATCTGGACCAATTTGGTTTCCAGGATTCTCGTCAGGACGCAAAACCAAAGCAGGTAGGTCGGGTATCACCTGGGGTAAACATGTAGAGTCAGGTGGTACTTCCTTATAGTTGATTCCAAACACAAAGTGCACTGGAGATTCAGATGGGGTTACAGGTTGATTTGTTGGTTCATGGCATACGTCAGGTGGAACTTCTTTGAATGTGTTTTCAAAGGTTGGCAGCAAGGGTGAATCAGAATGCTCATCAGTATGGTAAACGGTGGTGGTCTGGATGTTTTGGCCCCTTCTAGTGCCACGGACAACAGTGTGCTGTGATGCGGCTGCCGCTCGATTGGGTGGACCTCCCCTCCCACCACGACCTCTGAAAGCGCCTCGGTTAACCGGAGGGGGTTGCCTAGGGGGTGGGGGCTGCACCTCGAGTACTGGTTCCTCATCCAGGTTCTGCCCAGTGCGTTGTCTTGCAACCCGGTAATTGGTTCTTATTCTCGGGAGATTAGGCTGTTGGGGTGGAGACATGATTGGTTGTTCCTGGTGTTGCTGTTCCCCTGTAGGCTCCTCTAAATTGTCCAGTGGTCCAAACCGGGACTGTGTAGCTACATTGGCCTGAGGTGTAGTGGTAGGATGTCTGGTTTGGTGCGTCTCTCCTCCCGGGGTCCTAGCGGGTTGGATTGGTGCTCTGTTCTGTTTTCTTCTGTCCTTCCTAGTAACCAACATCCAAGCTCCGTACTTTTCCTTGGGCAATTGAGCAGGTCTCGCTGCCCCCAGTTGGGAATTTCCACCTGTGGCAGCGGAGGAATTATCATTCAAGCCAGTCTGATCCTTTCCACACATTTCTGCACGATGGCCATAAACACCGCACTTGAAGCAAATTTGGTGGATACCCTCATACTCGATGGGCCACTCTTCGCAGTTCAATACGAATCTGGATAGTAGGGGTTTGGTGATGTCCAATTCAATGCATACTCTCGCAAACTTGCCTTTTGATATCAGATTTGTCGCATAATCAATCTTAAGAGGACGCCCAATTACTTTTCCGATTTTCTTCAAGAAATCGTCATCAAAGTATTCAATTGGTAGTGATGGGAATCTTACCCATGCCAGAATTATATCCGTGACGTTCTTCCTCGGATTGAAATTGGGTCTCCAATTCTGTGTAATTAGGTAGTGGTCCAAGACCATCCAAGGGCCCCCAAACTTCACAGCTTCATAATCCGCAAGAGAATCGAATTTTGCAAGAAAGTAATCGTAATCTAGGGAAATCAGTTGGAACCCAGCTTGTGGGTTCCACATACGTTGGAGTCTTTGGAGAAGGTAGGAATAGCTAGCCGTTCGTCCCAGGAGTCGAAGAATCAACGACCTGCGCCAAGGGCGGCGGAGCCTTTCCTTTTCTTCTTTTGTCACACGGATTACTGGATATTCGGAAGCGGCTACATCTTGATCCATTTCATCGTCATCTGACACCTCGTCGTCTTCCTGGGGTTGGGCAGGAATTCTTTGATTCCAAGCTCGGCTATGGGTCGCTGTAAAGATTCTTCGCTGACTGGTTTCTGGTGTACTAGCCCCTGCCTCACCCATAGGGGTTTCTTGAACCATTGATACTGTCTGTGGTTGACTCGTATTCTCCATTTGATCACGATCTCTTTTCGATTTCTTTGTGCTTCTTTCTAAAAGATCCTGTTCTTCCGGCGAACGATTCGTCGCCGATGTTGAAGGGTTGTCCGAGAGGGATTCCGAGAGCGTTTCAGAGAGGAGTTCCATTACAATCTCAATACGCAAATAATTTACTTTTAGTATAATAATAAAATGTATTTTTTGTTATAGTCCACGTAGCATTTTGTGGACAAATAATTTGCCAAGTCCAAGGCCATACACGGAGAAAATCATCTAATATGGAACAGGAACTCGTACGGTGGCTGGACCGGACTTCATGTCTTCCAATATGAGATTCAGCAACGCCCCACTCACATGCCCTTCTTTGCCTACCAAAAAAAAAAAAAAAAACCTCATAATATGCCCTTCTCTAAAAAGTAAAACTTCTTACTTGGTGGTTTTGTATCTTTTCTGGCAAAATTTGAGACATAATGCCCAAAAATGGATAGTAGACTACACCTGCTTTAAGCCAATTGTTATACCATAGACTAGGGTCCAAGTTGCAATCCTAATCCAAAAATTATGTATCTACAATATGTTATGTGCTTTCAGTTAATAAATTATGTGTCTGTAAATAAATTAGAGGCACATAATTTGTTAACTATAGACACATAATATGTTAAGTGCAGACTACAGTTAACATATTATTTGCTGTCTGTAGTTGACATTTTATGTGCTTGCAGTAGTTGACATTTTATATGGCAGACACATAATCTGTTAAGTACAAGCACATAATACGTTAACTACAAACACATAATCTGAATGTCATTTTGGACCAGAATCGCCCATGAAAATGCTTACCGTCACCTATGAGCTGATCATCCCACTGCAGAACTGGGCGGACCAGAACTCCGCTGCCAATTAGCATCATCTCCTCTGCTCTCTTTCCCTCATCAACACGCACATCCTCGACTCTTATGGACCGTAATTTCCCCTGTTTCACCAAACCTTGAGCGAGTTCTAAAACTCGTTTCGCTGTACATCCGCTCAGAATTCTGTCGAAACGAGGCATCAGGAGCTCCTTTTCCTTGGTAACAAAAGCCACATTCATGTTAGGTCCTTCAGCAACAAACCCGTCGCCATCCAACCATATCGCTGCATATGCACCGTTCTCTTCTGCTTCCATCTTTGAAAGTGCGTTGGGGAGATAGTTCACGCTCTTCATAACTGCAAACTGTGGGGGTTTTATCGGGATGGATGAGGTTATTACTTTAACGCCATGGTAATCGGGCGGTGATTGATCTTGGATTACAATGGCATAGAGAGCGGATTGATGGCAATGTGATGGAGATAGTTGAAAGTCACCTGGTCCAGTCGAGAGCCAGTATCTTAGCGAACCGGTTTTGCACTTGGAAGCACTCACCGTCTGTATTAGTATCTTTCTAATGCTTTCTTTATCAAACGGAGGTTTTATTTTGGCCATGGCTGCAGATCCCAGGAAACGTTCGACATGTTGGTCCAACTCATAAAGGTACCTGAGAAAATCGATGAGATTCAATTTTACAATTCCATTTTAGCTTCTTCTGGTTAAACATAAAAGAAAAGAAAGACTAAAAACGAAGAAATAGAGAGACTACAAATAACTAAAATCAGACAATACAAGTACTAACCCATTCACGATTGCAGCTGTATCGAAAACTCCATGCCCTCTATGCACAATGTGATCGTCCATCGGGATCACCATGGCAGCTGTATCGGTTACAATTCCTCCAAAAATGCTCGAGTACATAGCTAGATATTGCTGCTGGCTTGGGTAACTCTCTCTGCTTGCTCTTAGCCTCTCAATGGCCTGTAAAGAGAAAATCGTTTTTGTTTTGAGAATGATTCATTTTTTTGGGAGGAGTTGATTATCCCTGAAACTAAAATCAAATGACTATCTGATTGGTACAAGTTTTATAATTACTAAAGGATTTGAACCCAATAGTAGGATACAAAATTAGGCAAACAAACATGATAATAGGGTACAGGAGATACTAACCAAACGGCAAACACCACCCTAGTTTATAAAAAAAGCAGGCACCTATTTCACATTAACAGCAGAAAACTAACAGCAAAATATTGATCTTCATCTTAAACAGATCAAACTAATTGATGCCTGTCCCCAATGGGGCTCTTAAAATTTGTATAAATCTGAAGTTAGCATCTGCAAACCATATTACAACACTGGCTTCTCAATCTCTCAAAGTGATATTAGATTATCTGAAAAGAAAATACTACATGGACTCCCATCTCTTACTCTCAACTTTTTACTCCCTCTCACAAATATTTGATGTAGACATTTTTCCTCGGACCCACATACACGATGAAAACAACCAATCATTGTTTGCTACATCACGGAGTAAAAGAATTTGGGAGTACATGTAATAGTACTCCTTAAACTTAAGCACATGAAAACATGATGTGACACTGTTACATTCACTTAAACAAGTCCTGTATACTAAAGTGACTGCTGAGAAGTGATCAACACCCTCCTGTTATACCATGTACTGACAAGCACTATTGCAAAAATCGGCCTAGGAGCCAAATAGGCGGGGTAAGCCAAGGAAATTTTACTTTTAAGCACACATTAACCTAGGTGCCCGAGTCAGCCAAACTCGGCTACCGAGTTAGCAAAACTCGGCCCAATTTTTTTAGGTATGCAATATGTACACTCATGTGTTTTTCATACCATTATTACTTGGCCGCCTAGGTCCCGCCAGGCGCCCAACTAGCCCCCAGCGTCTTTTAGAACATTGTTAAAAAGAATTTAATTAATTTGTGTCATTTGTATCATATCCATAGAAAACTCTCAGTGCACTAAGCCTAAACATTTTAACCCACAAAAAAAAAAAAAAAAGGTGGCAGGGAAAGTAGGAATACCTCAGAGCAAGACAGGAGAGTTACTTCAGATGTTTGAGTAGTTTGTGGCTCTGTCATGGAATAGACAGAATATTACATTTTGACGAAAACATTAAAGAAACGGAAGAAATTCAGAAAAAAAAAAATGTCTGAGAAAATAAACAATATTCATGATTCATTCAACTTGCCAGGAGAAGTTTGATTGGAATGTAGGGCAACAGGAAATCGAGTCAACGGTTTACCAAATGATCCGAAGCTGAAAGGGCGATGCCCTAACCTTGAAACCGAAAGATTGTTGGGGAAAATTGAGGGTTGATTGTTCAAATTTTGAAGGAAGATTGAGGTTTCTGGCATGGGTTTTGTGAGAGATGAAAGGGAAGCCATTGTAGGTGGGAGCTAGAGATGTAAATTGCCGGCGGGTAGGACTTAGGAGGATGAGGATCAACCTCATCCTATTCCTAGTATTCTCAACAAATTCATCAGATTCCATTCCAGAACTAATCAGTCAAAAGAAAAAACAAATTAACATTTTAAAAATACAAGGAGGCTACTCCAAAACAATAGTTATATCATCAAACGCTTTTTCCTCAATTTTTTTTTTTCAACTTAAATTTATTTTTTATCTTCTCTTTTCTACAAATAAAATTAATGTATAAAAAAGAATTTTTTTTTCCAAAATGGTCCATTGACTATTGCTCATTCTAAATTTTGCATTTCGACTTTCAATTGCACCAAATATGTTCCTCAACTTTCAAAAACACATCCAATTTAATCCTCTGTTAGGTGTTAAAATAGAGGGCACTTTCGTTCGTTAGCCTATTATATACCTAATATACGTTGAGAATAGTCGAGGGACCATTTTGGAAATAGTCAAGGGATCATTTTGGAAAAAACTCTTTTATCGACAGTCAACCTCAAAATTTTAAACTTTCTCCACAAACTCTTTCCTTTGTCTAAACATACAAAGTTTTATTTTATCCCAATCAAGTTTTACAATAAGTTTTGTAAATTTCATAAATACTCATATATTTTTTATGATTATCTTTTTATGTTCATATATGTGTGTGTGTGTGAGAGAGAGAGAGAGAAAAGATAAAAATAAAAATTATATGAGTATTTATGATAATTACGAAATTTATTGTAAAATATGATAGGGATAGATGAAAACTTTGTATGTTTAAATAGAGGGAAAAGTTTGTAGAGAAAGTTTAAAATTTTGAGGTTGGACTGTGGGATTTTATTTATTATATTTGTACGAAAAAAGAATCTATAGAAATTCTAATTTGATAGAGTCTAAAAATGAAAATAAAAAAAAAAATAAAATAAATAAAAGAATATTTCCCATAATGGTCCTTAGGCTATTCTCAAAATGGTCCATCGACTATTTCTTAGTGTATATTAGACGTAAAATAAGTAAATGGATGAAAATGCCTTCCATTTTAACACTGAGTAAACAGAAAACCTACCAGAGAACTAATTTGGGTGAGTTTTTAAAAGTCGAGAGACCACATTTGGTGAAATTGAAAGTCGAAATGCAAAATTGAGAATGAGTGATAGTTGAGGGACCATTTTGGAAAAAAAAAACTCTATAAAAAATATATTATTAAAAATCTCTAATTAAGACTTTATAAATGACACTTATATTAATATTTTTTTAAAAAAATATCTATGAGTATATAAAATTATTACAATAGTGTAATGTTTATGTACATTAAGTTTTGTTTATATGAACATATAAAAATAATATTATGAGCCTATTACAAAATAAATGGAAACATATATAATATACATGCAGTTTAGTGTTTATATATAAATTAAAGTGTATCCATAGAATAAAGCGTTAATGTATACACTATTAGTCTAGTTGAGACTTGAGAGCAAGGTTGTAAAAATCGCTAAGTGTTCCTCGGATGCCTTTTTTTAAAAAAAAAAAAATTAACTTTTTTAAAATTTTGTTAAAACTTGATAATTATAAACTATTTAATACTTTAATAGTTACTACTAAAATATTAAATATTAACCTAAAAAAAATCTAAAATTGTAAATTGTATAAAGATTTAACAAATCAAAATACAATTCCACAAGGTCACAACCCACAAAGCATAAATATTAGAGTAGCTGATTTTGATTTATTATTTTAATACATTTTTTAGCTTTGCGATCAATTTGAACAAATTCATTTTGAGCGAAATAACAAAAAAAAAAAAAAAAAAAAAAAAAGGAACAATAACTAATCGGCAGTTTAGAACACCGTTATGGTGAAAATCTAGGCGGCCAACCAACGCCTAGACGCAATTTTTGTAACCTTGGTTGAGAGACAAATTGTAAAGTGTAATTTGTCATATTTGTTATGGTGTATACACTTGGTTGTGTAAGATGCAGTTTGTCCCAACACTATGTGTAGTTATAGTTTATAGCAGCAACTTGGCAACAAAAGAGTGAATTAGTTATAGCCAATGCTACAAAGGGGTGAGCATCATAGAAGTGTCATCAGGGATGGTGGTTCACAAGGACCCATGAGACAAGGCCCAAGGAGTCAATGTTTTGTTTCACCTTAAAATACAAATGTTGGTGTTCATAGAAGTGTTATCACCATGATGATGAGTGTGAACATATCGGTGAGGGGTGTTCATCAAGGATAATAGTGGTGCCCACTAAAGAATAAACGGCTTGAAAATTGGAGTTAGAAATCCTAAGAGATGTGCTGTTAGGTAGTAGAGTAGGTGTTGTCGAGCTATAAATTCAGTGTTCTTCTTTCCCTTTCTCCTTTAAATTTATGCATAGTTGACATTTAATTATCATTGCTTAGAATTGCATGCATAAAATGGTCTAAAGAATTTTATCACTTATGATAATCAACACAAAAATATTTATAGCTGAATTCACCCCCCCCCCCCCCCCCCCTCTAGGCTAAACCAAGACTTTCACGAACATTTGGCAACATGGAGCTGGCTGGAAATGGGAATTGCTTCAGAACGGAGATGGAGAAACAGCACAGTATTCACAAATAGAGAAATGGAGAAGAAGCGCACAAATTATATTGTGGACTAGGATCCATTTTGTGATGTGGACTTTGGACCAAAACGATATTGTTTTTGTCAAAATTCCCCATTCTATTAACGACATTAACCATTTATATTTTCAAAAATCAAAGCTTAATTTTTAGAAATGAGACATTATATGTTTATTGAAGAGAGACATTATATGTTTAGCAACTCAAAACTTAGTTGAATGTTCAAAAACAATATATGTTCAGAAACTCAAAACTTAATATTCAAAAACTAGACATTATATGTTTATAAACTCAAAACTTAATCTTCATAAACTAGACACTACAACATTCACTATGTTAGATACTTAGATGTTTATAACATGCCTTATATATGTTCAGAAACTCAAAGCTTAATATTTATAAACACCTTCAATGCACTTTTTGAGAAATGAAATGACACCCCGTTAATCATGCCAGCTAAAAAACTATTGTTTCAGACCAAGATCCACCTTGTAAAGTGAATCTTCGTTCACGGTATAACTATTGGAGGAATAGAAAAAAAAAAGTTGGATTTTACAAAGTAGTAGTGAGATTGCGAAAGTATTCCAAAAAGCTACAAGCCCAAATAGTAATGTGAGAGAAGTTACAATCGTCAGTTGTTATATCGTGCACCAGGGCGCATTGTGTGACATTTTCATCCCATAACCCAACAGTTAAAAGCAAAAATATTATTCAGTTATTTCCTCTGAAAATGTCGTCCAAAGCAGCTTCTGATCTTGCAAAGCTCTAGCCACTTGACGGGCTCAACTACCGTTGCTGGGCCATCAAAAATGATGATCTATTTTGAGTCTGTTGAGTTGGAGTACATTCTGGCGGTTCAACCTGAATCCAAGGTTGCTGAGTCATCTCAACCTGAAACAGAAGCCGACACCACTGATCCGAAAACCCCTGACCCAAAGTCAGGGTCAACCAAAGCAACTAACAAGTCCCAAGAAGTTCGTACCAAGTACGAACGAGACAACAATTCCGTCCGAGGCACTTTGTTGCAACATATGTTTGATAATATGTTAGACATATATGCAAAGTATCGGTCTGCAAAGGTGATTTGGGACATGCTGAAGAAGAAGTACGGAGCAGACGATGAGGGGCGTAGAAACTACACAATTGGGCGCTGGCTCAACTACAAGATGGTGGACTCGGAACCACTAATAGAGCAGGTGCACGAGTATGAAAACCTCGTGTCGGACTTAGAGGCTGAAGGTATTCCGGTAAGCATTATGCTTCAAACTTACGCTTTACTTGAGACACTACCGGAGTCTTGGGGAGAATTCCAAAACAAGATTAAGCACGAATCCAAGGACTATTCTTGGGAGAAAATGGTCAACCACATTAACATCGAGGATGTGTATCGCCAAAGGTCTGTTTCTCTTTCTAATGATTTGAAAGCTAACATAGTTGAGTTCAGTGGTGTGAAAAATGATAGGGCTAAGTCTGGCTCTGGATGCCAAAACAAAGGTTGGAAGAAGGGATTTAAGGTGAACAAAAGCAACAACAAGTTCAAGAACAACAAGAACCAGAAACAAGGAAGAGGAAGACAATGTTACGTCTATGGGAAGCCTGGACATCGGGCAGCCCAATTCTATAAATCTGAAGTAGAAAATCAGCTAGAGAAAAGGATCAAACGACTCAGATCCGACAGAGGTGGGGAATATGAGTCTATATCACTTAAGTCCTTTTGTGAAAAACATGGAATTATCCATGACGTCACTACAGTTTGTTTCTAAGATTAACTGAATAGTTTGTTTGTCAGTTAATCTTAGAAGAGGAGCCAAAGTCCTTTGAGGCGGCTGTGCGCTCTATAGATGCTGTATTTTGGAAGGAAGCCATCCAAAGTGAGTTAGACTCAATTAAGTCTAATCACACTTGAGAAGTGGTAGATCTACCCAAAGGAGCCAAACCAATTGGCTGCAAGTGGATCTTTAAACGGAAACTAAGACCGGACGGGTCAATCGAAAGGTTCAAAGCTAGACTTGTATCAAAGGGGTATAAAAAGAAGTTTGGTGAAGACTACTTCTGCACTTACTCCCCCGTGACCAAGATAGCCACAATTCCTGTGTTGTTTGCCTTAGTCTCCTCACATAACTGGCTAGTCCATCAAATGGACGTGAAAACAACTTTCCTAAATGGGGACCTGGAGGAAGAGATCTACATGGAGCAACCACCTGGGTGCATTGAGCCAGGGCAAGAGAAAAAGGTATGTAGACTAATAAAGTCTCTGTACGGGCTAAAACAAACCCCCAAATAGTGGTATGAAAAGTTTCATAAAACACTAGTAGATTTGGGCTACTCGCTAAACAAATTGAATGCCTGTCTATACTCAAAAGAGATTGACTCAAGCATTGTATTTATATGCATCTATGTAGATAATATGTTAATTTTTAGTCCAAATCTAGATGCGATAAGACAGACTAAAGAATTTCTACGTGGTAGATCCG